GGGAGGGAGGGGGAGGAGGAGAGAGAGAATATGAATATGAATATGAATATGAATGAGAATGAGAGAGTGAGAATGACAATGTTGTATAAAGTTAATACCTAGTAGATTGAATAGGCAATCTTTAATTTTGAAACTCTCCTGACAGAGTAGTGTCTGGTCTATGGCCATGCCACCCTGAACACGCCCGATCTCGTCTGTTCTCAGAAGCTAAGCAGGGTTGGGCCTGGTTAGTACTTGGATGGGAGACCAACCACCTAGGAATACCGGGTGCTGTAGGTTTAAAAAAAAAATAGCATCTGAAGGCCTACTTCTGGATTCTCTCAAGCTCAACATCCTTCTTGAGGTGCTTTTCCAGAAGATCTGAGATCTCAGCTTTTGCCCTTTGGATTCTTCTCTCCAGCCTCCTTCCTCTGACTGGTGAGTACTCAAGGAGTCTTGACTAAGAACCTGAGGTTAATTCTGTAGATTAACTAGCCCACGGAGTCTTTTCCTTTCTCCATTCTCCTCTCTTCCTTCCTCCAGCCACCCAAGAAACTAAATTTTTAGACTGCTCAACTGGCATCTCTTTGGTGCTTTCCTCTGTTAACAGAACTCTTCTTATTTTGTCCTCCTATTTGTTTATATGTGCATCTTTGTCCATTTCCTCCCAGCCCTCCATCGTTGACAAGATGAAAGTTCATGTTAATTCATTTTTGTATTGACAGCAGTTTTTATACTGCCCGACATATAGTAGGTACTCAAGAAATATTGGTTAAGTGAATGAGAATTTGACATTATTTGTAAAATAATGAGTCTCTGTTTTGTTAGGAAATAGAATAGAATTCAGGGAAATTTTTGCAGAACTCAAAGAACTATGGACATTCTAACTTAATTAAATAGCTAAATATGTAATTATATACTAAACTGAGTCTCATACTAGATTTTATTATGAAAAAGTAGTAACAGTATCAAAGAGTTAAGGAAAGCAGTAAGATGAATACCTTTAGATGAGCATAGGCATCCAACAGACCTGGGTTCTGTTACTGGCTATTCTGATTGTTATTACAGCATCATGAATTACCCCAACACTAACATAGCAACCAGGTAGTTGTCTCTTGGAGTCTCTCATACATTTGCAGTCAGACATGGGTTGCAGGCCTCTGAAACCTCAGCTGTGCTGGAAACATGGTTGACAGTTCATGCTGGACTGATGACCAGAGGGCTTATATATGGCTTCTTTAGCATGGAGGTCTGAGGATGGTCAGATTTCTTAGATGCTGGTTAGCTTCTACCAAAATAAACATCGCAAAAAGCCAGGTGGAAGCAGCATCACCTTTTCTGACTTAGCCTCAGAAGTCATTCTATGGGAGCATAATTTTAGAAGAACTACATTCTAACTATTTTTATAGGATACAGTCATTCTAAGTTCCAATCAACTGACTTGAATGTGAATTTTTGGAACCTAACCTGTTTGTTTGTAACTGCAAAGTAGTCTCCCTATGTGTGCGTGTATACCTATTATGATAGTATATACATCCTTGCTATTCTGTCAAAGAGATAAAAGAAAGAAAAAAAGTTAATCAGAAAAAAGTCTATTAGTCATTAAATGACATAGCTTTGCATTATGCTAAAAAAAAAATACCAGGAGAGAGATTAATGGTTAATTTTTATTTAACATAGAAGCAAGAACTTTGAAGTCATTTTAAAGTTCTTTAAAGACTATGAGAGTCTAAAGACTATCACATTGAGTCAGCAGCTAGAAACACATATAATAAAGAATAGAAAAATCATAGGAATAGACAGTCATCCTTGTAATCAATTTTTTATAAATTCCCTGTGGATAATTAATTTCATATAATACTATCCAGTGTTTTAAAAGTCCCTCCCTTCTTCTTCTTCCCCCAAACCTAGAAATATTTGATGTTCAATATGAGAACCTTGTCACAGAGTTATATTAAAAGATTTAATTAACAGAACGTTCTACATAGCAAACTATCAAATAAAAAGAGATTATTCTCTAAGAGATCCCAGGGGTTCTTGAGCAAACTGTAGAGCCCATTCGCTTCAACCATAATCTCTGATACATTGCCTTCCTGAGAAGCTGTGGCAGATGTTGATTTGCAGTTCTTTTTATATTCAACTTCCCAGGGCTTTCTGGAACTCTTCACATAATGAATCTTGAAAGCGATGAAAAATTCCCATTAGCTCTTGATCTCTGTAATCATCTCTCCGCTCTAGAAACTCTTACTCCATTTCTCTGGTTGTTAACTAACTATTCATTCATCTCCTTCTGGCAAGTCATTAAATAAGAGAAACAGTTGACTGTGGAACCTGGAGAAAGATGAGGTCTCTGTCTGCTTGCTAAGGGGAAGGGAACTTAAGACTCTGCTAGTGATCACCAACTTGTTTGTCTCTATGATAACTCTCTTACCTTGGGCAGAATAATGTCCTCTCCTCACTGATTTTCCAATGGCCTTACTACCTTTCTTATTCTTCCAATGCTCCCTTACAATACATCTCTGCATGACAGTCTCATTTTGGGAGCTGTCTTGGGCCTGCACAAATGGGAGGGGGAAACCTAGCTCCAATAATAATTACTTGACATCAGTGAGAAAGAAATATTAATGAGGCATAAGTACATTAACCAAAAACCAAACTCTATTCTCGGCTCTCCTGGAAAGATTCCTGTCTTTGCTATCATCCTCGAATCCCTATTCCCCTATCCCTAAGTTTTGTTTTGGTTTGGTTTGGTTTTTTTCCCCTTTCAGGCACACTGCTTTGCTTCACTGGCCTAATATTCCTTTGATTGACTAAGAAGCCACTCAATGATTTGGGAGGCAAAACTCTCTTCTTTCCTGTCCCCCTTCCTAACAAAATATTTCTTTCAATAGATTTCCTTCATTAGATTTAGTTTTATTATTTGAGGGTATCCTTATGGATATATATATATATTATATAATAAGTATATATATATTAAAGAATTGAGTATTTCAGTAAGACAGTATGTTAATAATCGGGTTATCTAATAAAGCCAGAACTACCTACTATTTGAGAAGTTGTTAGATGATGAGCTCGGAAGAACTGAGAGACCAAATGCTACCACGGGATAGAAATGGTAGGTTGTACAGTGTCCTGGTGATCATGGACACTGGTGACTTTAGAGAAAGGTTCTGCAAAGACATAAGGAGCTCTTGTACCCAATTTAGAATACTGCAAAAGAATATCAGAGTAGGAATAGATCTTAGAAATCATAGAACGGTGTCGATATGGGCCGTTCAGCTAGCCAATATCTTCATTTTATTTACTTATGTATTATTTTTAATTGTGGTAAAAAGCATTTAACATAAAATTTATCATCTTTAATCATTTTTAACTGTAGAGTTCAGTAGTATTAACTATATTCACTTTGTCATGAAGTTTTCCCCTACATTTTCTTCGAGAAGTTTTATAGTTTGAGGTCTTACATTTAGGTCTTTAATCCATTTTGAGTTAATTTTTATATATGATATAAGATAAGAGTCCAGTTTTATTCTTTTTTTTTTTTTTTTTTTGCATATGGATATCCAGTTTTCCCAGTACCATTTGTTGAAGAGACTCTCTTTTCCCCATTGAGTGTTCTTGATACTTTTGTCCAAGATCATTTGACACATATATGTGAGGGTTTATTTCTGCATTCCAGTTTATTTTTGAATGAACTAAAGTCTACCGTGATTTGGTGACACTTTGTATAGAGAGTAAATTTGTATCGGTCTGCATGACTGTAACTGTCTACCAGTTACTGTGTGCTGTTAGACAATTTATCTTTCTGTGCCTCATTTTCCTTATCTGTAAAACAACAATAATGACAGTATATCTCTCACAATGGAATTGTGAAAATTAAATAATACTTGTTAGAAAAATGCCTTATACACAGGAAGTACTCTATAAATCTTAGCTATTATTATTTCCTAAATTATCCTCTTTCACGATTTTACTAGGATACATCCATCATAATTATAGCTCTCCAAGGATCTTCAGGTCATAGCAACTCTCTCAATTCTAGATGCCACCAACATTCATACCTATTGTGCACTCTTCATTGATGTTCCAATACCTGGGGGTTTGTTTCCTATTTTATCTTAATCCTGGAGACCATGTGGCTTGCTGCCTTCTACCCATTACGCACTTTCCCTCAATGTAGGAAATGAAGAATGATCAATATTTGGGAAAAAAAGATAAAAGAAGGTAAAGGCCTGTGTAGTTTCTCAAAGTTGGTATTCGGTATATATTGATCCATTTGCCTACAATAGATTTGAAAAGGATCAGAGACTTCCCCCCTTTTCTGTGGTCTATTGTGAAGGACTGAGGTCAGGTGGAGAATGTGAGGGAGTAGAGGAAAACTAAAGCTTTTTGGTACAGATTGGTTTGAAATTGACAGGCAGCAACCACAAAAATCTACCGGGTTCTTAGGACGCGCACTGCCTAATTCCTTACCTGACTGATAATGCTGCTTGCAGAAGGATAGAACAAATTTAAGTTAAATAAAAATAAATGTATTAACCATATCAGCAGCAGAATAGGTCAGAACAACCAGGAAAATTGCAAAAATCTAAGCAAAGGTGAGTGTTAACATTTGTTCCCTCTGGTGTGTTTTGGTGCAGCTGGGGTTAACCACTTCTCTGTACTTTCCATCCTTTTCAGATGAATTCTTTCTGTTAGAACCCATGTTCCTTCCATTATCTTTTGATCTATTTCCCTTTTCATATTAAAAGACCTCTGGAAAACCTGAAGTATAAATGTTGTTTATAAAAATTGTTCTTGTCCCAATATTAATGTAAATTAACCCGCTATGCCTGATATATCAGTGTCCAACTAATCTCAATATTAACAAAACTCAACTATATTGCTGTTTTAATTAAATCGATAGCTATCTTTAGTTCACATTGTTTCATCTAAGAAGACAAAATGTCGAAAGTGAATATTAAACATTAAGAAAGTTTTATTCTTAATATTCTTAATATAGTATATATCAATATGTATTTATCAAATATAGAAGGTTAATACTTCTTAAAAACATTGGAATATAATGATTATATCATCAGAGAAAACTTTCGTGGAAATTTTTAAAGGCAAAGACTCTAAATATAATTGAGTATTATTTTGAAATGAAAAAAGCTTCCAAAATTATTCTAGTTACTAGCAAGGTAATATGTTTTCTTCGCTTTTCAAAAGTTGTTCTTATAAAAATAAAGAACATATATTCTATGGTATTTAATCAAGACCTAGGACTTAATTATAGGCTTCTATTGTCAAAAGTAGGAGAATCGTGTTACTTCAAATTAAATCTTGTTAGTGTGTGTGCATGCATGTGTGTGTGTGTGAAATCATAACTCACTTTGGAAGTCCCCCCTCATTTGATAAACCCAGTTCTTGGACCTATAGTTAGTAAGATGCATGGCAAGCACATAGAAGAGACTCATAAATATTTAAATAAGTGAATTGTTTTCTTTCAGTTTGTTTTCTGGGGGGAAAAAAGATTGGTTTTCTACTCTTTTTCCTTTTAAGATTGGGTTTATATGAGATTCAGTAAAGATGTCACACAGTCATTGATCCAAGGGTTGTCAGTTTTAAATTTTTATTTATATATGTAATAAGGATAATATTTTGGTGCTGTTTGGTCCTCAATAATTCTTGTTTCCAGGCTCCCCTATTAAAAGTTATACTTGGCAGATCAAATCAGAGGTTCTTTCAAGTTGTGGAGAGGACAACTCATCCACGATGAAGGCTGAGCCACTGTGCTTAGTGCTATGAGGAAGAAGAAGGATATGACATAGAGGAAGTCCCTTTCAGGGAGGAAGAAAAAGAAGTCTCTCCCTTTCCAGGGGAAGATGGTTGGAAGTTGGATGTATGACTTGTGTTGGGGCTTTGAGGGAAGATGCTGGTGGGAATAGCTAGAGAAGCACAGTGGACTTTCCAGTTACACTTCAGTGCCCACCAGTCAGTCTAGAGACTACTTTAAACTATCCACAAGATAGCAAAGACCAATAGAATATAATTAATAAATGCCAAATGGTTTCATTGCCAAGAGTGTTTTCCCCTACAGACACTATCTTGAGTAGAAAAACAAAGATGGAGGAACATCCCCAGTAGGGAGCTGACCTTTGAATTGACAGAATATTTACCTAAACACAACTGTTTAATCCAGAAGTTATTTTAATGGACAAGTTAAAGTGTCTATTGTTCTGCCGCTGAAATGTACACTTAAAATGGTTAATTGTTAGTATATTTTACCACAATTTTTAAAAGTTAAAAAAATTTTTTTAATGTATTTCTTGTTCTTTACCTACTTCTCACCCCAGTTATAAGAAGTAAGAAAGCTATATTTCTTTGCATATCCAAATATAATATAACTAAAATTTAACCCTGAACACCTCCCCAAACACACATATATACACACATACTTTAAAATTCATAAAGCTTTCAGTCCTAGGACCCTTTTCAAACTTTCTTATCTTTTAAGGGTTCTCCTCTTCACAAGTGAAATTCTTCCAGAATTCGGGGTTTCAGATGTGATCTGGACTGAATTTATTTTTCTTCTGAATTTCCTAGGATCAAATATTCTTCATATCTCACTAATAAATATGAAAAACAAAACAAAATTAAAAAAAAATTAGGCCCAAACCTCTATACTACCTTGTTCTCCCTACAAATCTCAAAATCCAGAGTATTTGAGAGAGTGAGAGCTATGAGAAAGTCATGTCTACTACATATCATATTCCAAAGGAAACTTTGGGGTTGGTTGGGTCCACGGACAGTTTTAATAATAATATAAACCTTCTCAGTATTTCTTGTCCACCCCCCTCTCCATCTGTAATAATATACGGGAAGCCAGTTTTTCTAAACCGCTTTTTTCATATGTGGTACTAGAACTGTCTGTCCATGTCAAAAACCTCTACCTCTAGATAAAAGTAAGTAAAATGAGGTGAATGTGAAGACAGACTGGGCTGTGCCACTCATGCACTGTGTGACTTTGGGTGATTACTTCATCTCTCTGACCTTTAATTTTCTTCTTCATAAAGTGGGGATAATTCAAACTTCATGAAGTCTGTTGTAAAGGTTAAGTAAAATAATGAATACAGAGGGCTTACTTAATTAATCTGTATTGCTATTATGAATATCTCCTCCATAAGTTTAGCCCCTCTCACTTCTATTCCTGTCCTATGAAACACTTGTGAATAAATTCCCCTGTACTTTCAACATTTTCTTTTATTCCTTTTTTGAGCACGTACTATGGACCAGATATAATGTTAGCAATTCTTGCTACCATAAAATGCACTGTTCACATCTCATTTCTCAACAAAATTATGAGATGCATAGAGTGAATTCACATTAATAATATTTTAGTTAACAAAACTTTGATGAGTCTACAGACCATTTACCAAGGAAACAAAATTATTTAAAATACTTGTGTCAAAATAAATGAACCAAGGCTTTTCTGATGTAGTAGCCTAACATTTTATTGTGGGTATAAACACAACTCTCCGATCTCCAAAATTCAGCAATCCTTATTAGATTCTTTCTTCATTAGTAAGAGTAAAAAAAAAAAAAAAAAATCCCCTGTGTATTTTTCTATAACTTCTAGCAGTAGAATAAGGCATTTCCTTCCTAAAGTAATATAAACTAATATGATAGTCTTTTCTAATATAAAAGTATCTTCAGAACACCTTAGAATTATTATAAATAATAAGTAGAATTTCTTAAGGTTATGAATTAAAGAGAAATGTTGTGTTTTTGTTATTAAAAAAAATGTAGAGGTTAATCTTTCCCCCATATTTGGCTTAGCAATGATTCTGTTTTATTCTCTCTCTCCTTGCTGTTCTCTTTGGTTCCAAGGTATTCCCAGCTGCTGAGAGTCACAAATTTTGTCTGCATAATGGGGTGACCTTTTCAGAGGAGCCAATGTTTGTAAGCTAAAATACAAAGGAAGAAAAAAATGTTTACTGAATGACTGTGTGCTGGAAGAAGGCTCATTCAAATTAGCCCTCTTCCACCCCTACTCCCACCCCAATCAGAATATTCCATCTCCTTCATCTCTCCATTCCTCCCTGGCCTTACTGTATTAGTAGAATTGCCAGCTACAGGGACATGGCTGTCCACTCAGGCCTTTGATGTCTTTAAAATTCCCCCTCAGTGTCCTTTTGTCTCTTGCAGGGAGGAAATAGCATCTGGCACCTCAGCTCTGTGGAACAGCTGCCCGCTCCTGGGAAGAGGATTCAAGAAGCTGCAGCCTGACTCAGGCAGGTGACCTGGGTTACTCCCACCAGCCGTCTGTCACAGAAACCACCTTCTGTTGGGATATGACCAGATGTTTTCAGCTTCCCAGGTATGAACACACCTAACTTCGCTTTTCCAAACTGCATTCCATTCCTTACCTGCTCCCCAACCCCTTCATTCTCCATTCTCAGCTCTTAAAAAACAAACAAACAAAAAAACACAGACACTGCAGTTATCATGCATCCAACTTTTCATTATATATTTTCATCAAATATTTTCTTCCTTTCTCTCTCTTCTTTTTAACTTCACAATTTTGCTTTTTTGGCAACCAACCAAAGATTTCTTTGTGCGAACTTAAATATTACAAGACAAACCCTCTCCTGATACAAGAGCTACAGAATTATTTGTATATGTAATCTCTTCCTGTGCCTCCTGCTAGCATGGGCCTTTTCGTTTCCAATCCTCCTCGTGTAACAAAAGAATAAATTGTAATACTACTGAAAGAACATTAAACTGACAATCTTCTGAGGCACCGGCAGTTTTAATGGAAACCAAAGAAAATTCAAGATTATACATTTTCTTGTGAATGCATTTCTTTTTCCTGTCTGCTCTCTCACATATTATCAATTTTCTCACCTTCTTATTATTCAGTTTCCTATCTGCCAAATAACAGACCTAAAGCTGCCTTTGAGCCAGTCTCTCACCAATAGAGCTGTACTTGCTGATAGAGAATTAAGTAAGGTATTGACAAATTGTTACAAGGTGTTTAGGCTTATAATTTAAAGATTGAGTTTAATTAATAAACTATAGCAATTTCAAAAATACTAAATGGATTGCCTTATCTAATACTTTGCCTCCTTCTTGACTACCCTTTGGGAAGATGGGAAAAGTGAAAGTAAAGGCGTTTATATAGTGCCATCTTGTGGCAGACACATTAAAAAGTTCTGTTTCATCTAGGAGTTTGTTTAAATGAGCCAGGAAAATAACTGCAGCTATTAGGGACTGATTTGGACTCTCCAGGTTTAATTCTAGTTTTGTTTTTCTCCTATGGAAATAATATAATCCTGGGAGCTCTTTTTGGTGTCACTGAGAGTTTTAAGCTCTAATCTGCTTTTCGGAGAGCCAAAAAAAGGTAAAAACAAAATCCAGAGGAATTATTACCTTGGTATTTTTAACTTTTAGACTTTTCCACTCCACTTCTGTCTGTCTCACTAAAATGAAACACAGATTCAGCTGAGAATAGAAAAATGTTAATAAGCTAAGAAAACGGCAGTGAACATGCCACTTAAAATATAACAGTACTACCCTTTTCCAACTATTCTCATTTAAGTCTATTACTCTTAAATTTTAAACATATGAATGTGAAAAAAGGTTTTCTTTAATTACATTTATTATAGATATACATCTATGATGACATTAACAGAATTTTAGAAGCTGACCCACTGTTAGCGAAGCTCAAAACCAATAAACAACTGCCCCCCCTTACCCATATAGAAGGAAAACAAAAATTAGAAAAATAATAGGCAAATAAGAAACTACTGTAATTTATTTGTGTTTTCCAGGATCAGCTGGCCCTTTCAAAGACTCATCTCTAACTTGCAGTTGAGGCTGGCTTTGCTTTGATTTTGAGATACTTCCAGGACCAAATCTCTATCCTGATCCATACTTACCAGCTACTGTTTCCAAAGGAGGGGGCATAGGGAAGATGGGAGAAAGCAAGGTGGGAATTGGATTACAGGATAGTTAACAGAATTATGTGCTCTTCTGTGGGTTAATACCCCCTTAGAATGGTATTACTTCTGGCATTTCAAAGATATGTTAACCTAGATGCACAAGAAAAATGGACAGACTGGCTTAAAACCTTTCACTAAAGAAGTTATAGGCATGGAGCGACTACCCACCAGTACCTGCCCAGTTAGGAATTTATGATCAGATCACCCTGTGAGATTACTTTTCATAGAACCCCTTTATTTCCTTCACACCCCTTTCTTAGCCAGGTTCTCAGGGACCAACACTGAGAGGCTGATCAAATATCCATGTGTCAATCATGGCCCGCTTCCCAATTGGTGACAAAGGTCTTACCATGCTATGGCAGATTCCTTGAGTTTCTCAGGACCTCTGAGCAAATTGGAAATATAAAACATACTTGGCAAGTCTAAAATGCTTTAAATAGTAGAAGGTGGTTAAATGCACTACTCTCAGACCTCATGTGATGTAGGCTGAGATATTTATCTGCTGAGTCAGCAGGCCAAATTCCTAATCTCAATACAACTGGAAATTTCTCCTGGAATAAATTTGATCTTCTTCCATAGTTCCCTGACATTTACGAAAGGGTTTCTTTGGTCTTAATCTTTTCTTCATTAAAATACTCATAACTATGAAAATGAACATAACTTTTCAGGATGATGGCTTTTAGGATGCTATACTTTTGCCATGTTTGAATTAAATCTAATTAGAATGAGAGTGACTGAATGAGGTATACTTGTCTAAACCAGTTTCAATTGAAAAGTACTCAAAATATCTGTTCTTAATTTCAGCTAAACTACAGGCATACCTCATTTTATTGTGCTTCACTTTATTGTGCTTCAGAGATGTTGCATTTTTTACAAATTGAAAGCAAGACTCTCCACCTGCAAATAGATTATGACTCACTTCATTGCAATGCTTTATTGTTGAGGTCTGGAACTGAACCCACAATATCTCCAAGGTATGCCTTTATAGAACTTTCCTTACAGCAACGGAATAGTGATCTCTGTGTATCCCCCCCACACCCTTTTTTATTGATGGTATTAGCAGCTATTTCATAACTGGTAGTTAGAATGACATGCTGTGAAATTTAAGTGGTTGTTGGGATCCTTGTTGATTAAAGATTTTTAAATTAAATACCAGTTTAGTTTCTGGTGTTATTTGAAAGGGCTAT